GATGTGCACCAACTTTTCATAGATTTCCAGCAAGTATATGATTCCATAAAAAGAAGCAAATTGTGGATAACAATGTTAGAAATGGGAATACCTAGAAAATTTGAGAATTAAAGCAAATGTGCGTGACAGACTCATATGCGCAAGTAAAGATAGGAGGCAGAACATTTGGTATAAATTCTGGACTTAGGCAGGGAGGCCTAATTTTGCTTTAGAATATGCAGTAAGTAAAATATCGTCTGAGCTGACAGGAGGATTTGCTGATCAAGGATCAAAACTGTTGCTGGCCTTTGATGATGATATAGATGCAGTCACGCATTCTACAAGAGACGCGAGGAAGGTGATTCATAGCTCGAGGAGGAAACAGGTAGTCTGGGTCTCCGAATAGATGAAGAAAAGACGAAATACATGGTAGTAACCAAAAATCCAAGACCAAGAATTAGGCAGATCATCAGTATTAATGATCACAACGTCGAATTAGTAAAGGAGTTTAATACCTGGGGCGATAATCACAGCTGACAACCACATAGAGCAGGAAATAGAGCATTATACTCTCTTCCAACATTATTAAGATCGAAGCTGCTAAAAAGAAAATCAGATTAACACTGTACAAGTCGATTATTCGCCAATTATTACATATGACAGTGAAACATGGACTCTCAACCAGCGGGAAATCAATAAGCTTCTAGTATTTGAAAGAAAGGTTCTCAGAATAATATTTGGCCCTCAAAGAGATGAATTCACAGGCGATTGGAGAAGACGCCGCAATGCTGAATTGGTGACTCTGTATGGAACTGAAAACATACTTAGACATAATATTTTCAATATTTTAAATGTAATCAAAATTTAATAAATATTATATATGAAATGGTAATTATTATTTATTATTGATAATTTAATTTCTTTAAAATAAACAATGTTTATTTTAAATTCCGCTCGTCTCCCTGGGCGGCCCCGCCTTAGTGTAATGTGCTATAGATTGCTGTTCTGCTGCTTTTCCTCCTACTTGTTCCATATACAGTGGACACAGTAATTGTACCATGGTATATTGCTAAAGAATTATTTTAGCATTAAACTGTACAGTGGGTGTTTAGGCATTAGTTACCATTAAACTTATTTTACAAAAAGTTTTCTTGAAAGTCTTTGAGGGTCAGGGAAAATGAGAAAACTGATAATTGAACAAAACAATGAGCAATTTCCTTTTTTCTTAGACCCGGAATATCCTCCAAATTCATACGTGAAAGAACCCCTTGCTGAATATTAGGTCTAGAATGAACCAGATCTTCGTGTTACGCCAAATATTTTCTAATTTTACGAAGAGCTAAATTTTGTAATTTTATCTAAACGCTAAATGTACGATGTAAACATACTTATTAAATTTAGGGGACTTACAGAGGTAATTTTCTATCAAGCCTTTATAGATGGAGCATAAAAGGCTTCTTCTTCGACTAGTGCCGACTCCACTAATGAAGGTTGACCATAACCATTGCAAATTCGTCGTTATCTTCTGCTTTTCATAAAAGCGACTGTGTGTTTAACCCGTTCCACTCGCGAATATTTTTCAGCCAGGATATTTGTATACCAGGACCCCTTTTTCCTTCGGTTTTACTCTTATCAAGCTATAATCAGCTGCAAAACAACTCGTACCTATTATTTCTGTATTTCTCCTTTTAATGGTGGTCAAGTTTTTATTAGAAGAAAAGGGTTTCAATTTTAATAATAAACAATTACAAAGTTTATGTTGTACTTCATTTAGGCGATTCCTGACAGGCTTCACCCTTCCACTGGAGGGTTCAATACATAGGAATAAAAGGAAACTCGTTATGAACTTGCTAGTTTTGTTCAGATCAGTATTTGTTGACCTCTGTAAAAAATTAAGACTAACTAAAAGATGGCATTTATGCGGAAGAAGGAAGATAATAATTAAAAAGATAAAACTTCTTTTATTATGTCTAACTTCCTGCTTTACATCCGTATAAACGTGTAATTTTTAAAGCGACGTAATATTGCATGCATCAGAAGCGTTCCCATGAGAATCCATCAGATATTTATCTTTATTACTGAAGAAATATATTGCATCAAATTCACATTCTATCAGCGAAGAAAGCCACATGCCACATGGCTTGATGGCCTTTAGAATCTGTGCTCTTTGCGTTCCTATTTCTTGCTTTCAATTCAATATCAACATCAACAGTATATCCACCACCATTCAATGTATGCAGGGCCGTCCCCAACAGCAACTGTATGTGTCCGAATAGACGAATTTAATTATTCTGCATCGAATCTTTACTTTTATGATACAATTGATGAGACTGTTGTAATATAAATTTCGATCATTTCTATATAAAGATTCTAAATTTATAATAGACGAAAAATGGCGTCTATGCTGGCGATTCATTGAATTGAATGCTTCGCTAAAATTGACTAAGAAAATTGAGTTAAAAAAAGGACTATTTAAAAGAGAACAAAAACTATTTGTATGGTAACCAGACAAGTTTGTTCGGAAGCTGTTTGTTGTTATAAGTTGGTCATAATACAGCCAATTAGCTTATTGTTCATCTTAATGATAATATAATAATAATAAATTTTTGAAAAAATTTTTGGGAGATACTCCAACATACCAAGTCACCTAGGGCTCGATAACACAGAGAAGTCCTGCCAGAGCTCAATCCTTTTGATACCTTAGGTATCTGGGATGAGTCACAACAAAGTGACCGTTGTTTTGTCTACGTTAATTTGATTTACACATTACAATTTTTTTTTCGGAATTTATAAAAACTTACAATACATCAAGGTAAGATGATTACATTTACTCCAATTATTTTTTTTGTTAGTTTAATATTAGTTAATCCATTTTATGCAAATTAAACTTTGGAAGCATAAAATGTAAGAAAACCTTATGAAACGAAGATACTATGAGGAAAACCTCAAATGCTTAGGAGTGACGATACTAAAAGATCTGCAGAATCAATGTGGAAATAATTCAAACACAAGACTGAATGAACAATCAGGACTACTGGAAAAGGATTAAATTTGGCAATACGACTACAAGAAATGCTAAACAATACATTCTGCTAATAATTGGTTTTATATCATGTGTTTGTTCTGCTTTAAATACTTTTAGTTTAAAAGATGTTAGGTATGCTGATATTAGCTTTTTAGTTTGTGTACATCTTTTTGTAGTTATTTTGGAATATTCCATCATGTGATATTATATTCAGTCCCACATATTTATTTATGTTAATTTGACATTTGAAACAGGCAATGTTTCTTTACCATGTACACACGTCTTCATCTTTTGCATGTTTATTTCTTCGCCGTAAAGAATACCTAAATATTTATCCTCGGATACAATATGTTAGTCAAAAGTAATAAATATGGGAGAGTATAGAGTAGCTATTTAATAGAAAATCTATAATTATCAATTGAAAAGTTTACCAGAATAGAAAAGTTAAGTAAAAAAGAGGAAAATAAACCTACCGCCATTGAACTTACTTAGTGATAAAGTAGTTCCATCACGTCAAATGCTGTTAGAGGGCGTTGGTTTATTAACAGCCATTGCCTAATCTCCTAACTATAATAAGTCTTTAAAGGGGACAAAAAGACTTATCTAAGGGTTGCAACTTATGCGTTGAATCAGGCGGCAATATTTCTGGTGTGGCTTGAATGTCCGTCAAAGACTAGGAGAACAGGTGACTCAATTGTAGATTTTATAGTGCTCAAAAAATGGTCGAAACATTTTGTAAACAGTTCTGTTGTAATCCATCCTGATGGCTGCACGTGAAAGACAGCACATGGGGGAGCTCCTTTTTGCAACTAAGCATTCATGTATTTCCGAGGAAATATCACCATCGGTGGAACATAATCGCCACCAGCACTCATACAGACTACAATTGTTATCAAGGCACCTCTTTCTGCTGACGTAAGAGAGCCTACTTGCCTTTTTCCTCTGAGACCAATGACTGGTTCTACTTTACTCTGGACTACTGTAAGGCCACTTACATCAACGTTGAAAATTCTTATTGCTGGATAACTGTGTTTTTCAAACGCATATTCAATGTTGTCAAAAAACATTGACACATTTTCTTTGTTGAAAACTACCGCTCTTGCAAATGAGGTTCCTGTTGGCTTACGAATTAAAAGTCGTCCCTTATGCCTTTTCATTAATAGGTCTAGCCATGCTTTACCTGCCATGTTCTGTTTGACAAAATGGTGCGATATGCCATTCCTTTACGACGAAGGTCTTGCCTAGCCAAACCAAAAAATGTGGATTCCATGACCAAACAATACTTAACCAACTGTTGCTCCAATTCGGGAGGCAAGACAGTAGGCCTTCCTACTCTAACAGCAGCTGCTTTTGCTGGTTCTCCATATTTTTCCATTGACAAACGCATCAACGTGGTCTTGGGTACTTCAAAAGTCTTGGCTACCTTTTTCCATCCCATTCTTTTCGCCCTAATTGCTTCTATAGCCTTTTTCATATTTTCCTCTAACCACAACCTCTTCTTTTTTTCTTTGATAGTCTTTGGCATGGTTTTTTAATCTGCAAATATAATATTCGGAATTAGTTTTTAATAATCGAATGTTTTTACTGGGGGTCCGAATTAGCACTAGAAGGGATCCGAATTAAAAACTCCAAGGGGTCCGAATTAGGAAATAATAGATTTACACTGCTTCCTAGTGGCAGCAGCCCTTCGGTATGAAACTACACTAGGGGGTCCGCATTTACCGCGCTTCCTCTAGGTATAACCAGATGCAGGCAAGTTAAAACTAATGAGGAGGAGAAACAAAAATATCTAAATTAAATAATATGTTCTTTCTTGAATTTCACAGCTATTGTTTATTAATTTTTCGAGCAAACACTAACTAAACTATGAAATAATAATATTTTTTAAGAGTGTTTCGTGGGCCGATTCGTACCTGATTGAATTACCTGTTGATTGCTGACGGAGAATTCATAGGAATGGGCCTGTGACTGTGCTCATGAGTAGGTACCATTCGTAGAAGGCCAAAGCAATGTTATTTTTCAGCCATGTTTGTGTTATTGCAACGAGAATATTAAGCATACTTAATAAATCTGAAATTCGACCTACTGGCGTTTCCCTTTTACCATACTTAATTCTGACTTGCGCGTCTGTGAAAACTCTCTTCTAAGGAATTAAAACTTTAGTTAGTGAAACCAAAACGCAGCAATATGAAGTGAAATTACTACCGAAGTTTGACCCACATAGTTTAAAGACCAAGCTAGTGTACATGTGTTTCTGTTTATTCGTGATGATTAGTTACTGAAAACTTCGTAAATATGGTGTCTTAATAAACATTTCATAAAAAAATGTCCAACAAAAAGGCAGGGGTTAAAACTAATGCGGAACCTGCAGTTTTACCTCCTCGATATCAACCACCCCCTATGCCTACTGGGCAGGGCATTTTGAAAAACTCACCTACAGAACCCACCAAAAAACCTCCAAAGACTGGGGAAAATGTAAAATCGTTATATCCAAACGACCAACACGCAAAATTTTTCCCAAACCCTCAGGGTAAGTAAACAACTTTCATTTTTTAGATTTCTTTAGATATATTCTCACTTTCTTTTTTATTTATTTTAATTAATAGTTATTCATAATCAGAAAATGCTACATATGGATTAATATAATAATTATAATTACATTTTAATTGACCAAGGAATTTCGGTTTTTAGGGATCCAGTAGAAGTTTTTAAAATATATGATTTGGTTTCATTATTCAGTTATACAGGTTGTTTATAAACAGAGAAAATATCTAGACTAGCAATAAAAACGAATAATGTAGGTATTAATCTTGTGAAAAAAAAAATAGAAGCAGTACTACAAGAAGCACTAGAAAAGAAAAGAATTTAGACATATTTAATATGTCATGGTTTAACCATAGAAAAAAAAAATTACAAAGGAAAATGATGTAAAAATACAGGGAAAATGTAGAAGCCCCTGGATGATACAAAAATAATAGGTAGAATTTAATAGATGAGTAACATATAAGTAGATGTGTAGATTTAAGCAAAAGCAAATAAGCAAAATTGAGTTGTTTTTAGGAAAATTGATAAATGTAGAAAGAAAAAGAAAACTCATGAAGAATGTACAATTTTAAAATTGCTGTTAAAAACTAACAAATATGAAATACTCTAGGTAAAAACAAATTCCAAATAAACTCCGAAATACAGAGGAGAACATTTATTTAATGAAGAATTAAAAAAAAAATAATTAAAAAAATTATCAAGGTGAACAGAATTTTAAATTAATTTTGAACCATAAACTTGCTGATGTCCTTCAAGCTTCAAGAAAGGGAGCAGAGTGATTCCAATTATATTGTGATAAAATTGTTAAATACAACATACAACACCCAAATTAATGAAAAGCAACAATAGGAAAATAAGTACCAAAGTACCTAAAGAAACCTTTCACATTAGAAGGTTATCATCTTAGTAAATTTAAGAGTATTTACCTATGTGATAAGTTTCGAAAATAATATTTATTTGCTTTATAATGGAGAGAAACTATTGTATATTATGCAAACTAAAAAAACATACACAAAGTAAAATAGAATAATGAAGATAAAAAACTTTGAATCAATAAAGAGTTTATTGACATAATATTTCAAATTATGGAATATTAGCAAAAGGCTAAGGCTAGTAAAGATCTTTTCAATGACAACTAAGAATCATGGGTTATTTTAACCTATAAACAATGAATAACTTTGGTAAAATTGGGGATAACCTTTTCTACAAGGTAAAATCTAGGATAATCAGGGATAATGACTACAAAAATTAACAGTACCAAAATATAAAATATATTAATGTATTGTTAACCCTTAAACGGGCTAACTTTTATTTAAAGTTAGTTATTAAAATTGTTATATTATGTTTATTAAATATATATTGAGCAATACATAAAAAAATTATAAACTTTTATACAGCAAAAAAAGCAGTATGTATCTTGCAGGATACATTGCCCATAGTACACATTAAAAAAGCTTAAGAGATTTTTTTGTTCAGAGGGATAGGCGAAGGATATTCTCTTTAGTGGGTTGAAAATTGCAAACTTATTAATAAATATGTTAAAAAAACTAAAACAGCATTTATCCTGAAACCAGGTTAGATTTTTTTCTTCTTAAATTTTATTATTTTGATAGAATCCTTTCCAAAAAGGTACTTACCTTATTTAAAAAAAAATATCGTGATTAGCATCTGCACTATTATCTTGGAAGTGTACTAGTATGTCATTTTTTTTTAATTAATTTATGGGCATTACATCTGATATAATACTGTAGCTTGTGTTCATTGACTAATAGTCTCTTCTAATGATGGCATCCTTATTATATCAATTAAAATTTCTACTCCATGTTTTTGGAGTGTTTTTAAAAAAACATTTGAAAATACTGGAAAGGTGTAAAAACATTTGGTGGAGCTTCATAATCACTTTCAATTGGGATTTTGTTGCATTGAAAGTTTTCTTTCACTCAGTTGTAGTTGTTCCCACCTGTTTTGCTTCTAATTTTTGGTTACTTTCCTTCAGATTTGAAATTCTACTGAATAATAGTATCTCATTAGAAGTTGCTAGGAGTAGAGGAGGTAGGATGTCTGTTTTTTTTCTATCACAACTGCCACATGGGACCATAGGAAGCTGTAAAGAAAGTTAGATGAGATTTGGATTTCCTGTAGATTTTGTGGGCATTGTATCTTGAGAGATGCAAACAAGTTTAAACAAGTTGTTGGTACTTTATACAAATTATAACTATAAAATAGAGATGTACTACCATTTTCTAAAGTATGTTTCTGACTTCTCAAACTAAAAAAAAAACAATGAGTACTGAGTTTGATTACTTTACAAAACTTACCAACTCCATTTTGTTGACTGTATCACTAATCAGTTAAAAACACACTGACAGATAATGGATTTCCCCACCGGCTACCTGTTACGATACTCGATACATACATGATACAATACGATACATGCTCACCACCATATAAAGCACCTCTTTCTGATGTTGGTGGATGGAGTACTATTATCTGACCGTGACTGTTTCTTTTCAGGCTTCTGCTTGGCGATTTCCAGCTTTTGTTTTGTCTCATCAATACTTGTAAGGTTTAGCGCTTCCTGAAGTTAGCCTTGATCTCCGATCGTTACACTTCAATGATATTTTGTATTTGTTCACCATTTTCTTCAGTGTCATCTTGGAGGCATCGAGTAGTCTGGCCATTGTGTCATATCTGTCGCACATCAGATACACCCCCTCAATCGACATCTCCACAATAGGGGTGATTCTAACAGCACTCTTTTTGGCTGGTCTAACAGCCTCTGCAGCAGAGCCTTCTGGGCTTTCTGATATCGTAACTGTTGTTTCCTTTTTTGTTGAGATTTCTGCAGCAAGAGCCCTCCCAGCTTACAGCTATATTTTTTTTGCTCCTGAGTTTATATTATTCCCATGAAGTTAGGCGAATATTTGTTCCGCTGGAGCAGAGCTCCGTGTGTTCGAAGTAAAGTGTTGGCCACAACGGCGCACCGCACATCGCATAGTACAACGCATAGCACCTACAACACGCGCCTAGCTTAGCCTTTGCTTTGCACATTAGTGACCGTACAATGCACCACATATTTATTCTGGTTTCTTTAATCATGTAGTCAAGAAAGCATTGTTTTAAATTCAAATTTTAAGACATGGTGTTTATGCAAAAAACAAACAAAAGTGGAGGTGCATCCTCTAAATAAGGAGCGAATTTACTATGGCGAATTTCACCACCTCTTAAAGACTCTCAACGATAAGATTCTCAACGCTTTTTTAAATATATAGGAAAAAGTTCAAATACGTTTTTTATATTTTAAACAAATTTCAAGGAAAAATAAATATCAGTTGGAAAAATGGCCATGTTCAACCCATACCAGCTGAAGGACTTTTTATTGAAAAACATGTAATACAAATTAGTGTAAAAGGTGCATGTCGTCAAAAAATATTTGGCATACTTTGGGCGCTGAAAATGGCTTACGCATAAACATAACTAATTAATTTGTCCTCATTCACCTAGAATAATCAGAGGCATTGCTACCCAGCGATGTGCAAAGGAAGGAGCGGTGTGTCGTTGTGGCCACGCGCATTTACGGCAATGCTTGTATTTACTTTGCTTCAGCGAGGCTTTGCTCAAGGGTAGGTGTGGTGCGATATGCTGTGCGCCGTTGTGGGTCGTCAATTAACGCTAGTTGCAACCAGATGTCGCCAGTTTCCGGAGGTTCTCGTTAACGACTGGTAACTAACAAGCAATTCATCCCTCACAGTACTGAAAACACATTTTGTTGTCACACAGGCTTTTGTGTGAGTCGTCCTTAGTTTCACTACCAACTCCATCCAATCAGGAGCTAGCAGCTACTCAGCCCCTCACAAAACGGCAAGGTTCCACGACTCCGTAAAAGTCTTTCCGATATAATAAGCTACTCTTTGTAAAGACAACGAAGACATAGACTCTTTACTACAATCAAATATAATATGGTAAATCTTCCCTTTGTTAATTTTTAGTAAGAATACACCAGTATCCTCCACCTTTGAGACAACTTCCGGATGAAGTTCGGACCACACAGCTACAAATACATCACGAAAATCCTCCTCCAAGACCACGTCTACCTGAAGAATCTGGAGCTCAACAAATTCACCTCGATTTAAGAGTACCTCAACAGCGACAACCCATTAGATACGACGACGAATTTTTGAGACCTGAAATGCTGAAATTTGTGAGAAAACCTGACGATCCAAGGTTTATAGACCCTAATAGACAGTTTCAGGTAAGCTATATTTTGTTTTTCATAGCATACTTACTACCATATAAATAAAGTAACTTGATATGGTTCCATTCCATTAAAAAAAAGTTCTACCCTGTAATATGGGTGGCCCGGTATATTTGAAAATATTTGTAATGTATGGACATATTTATGATCCAACTTTTGATTAAATAATTTTTTTCTTATTTTTTATGACAAGTGAGTAATTCTCCTTTCTCTCACTAATACCGCATCCTGTATTTGGGAAATTTCACTTTTAGTAGTTTATATTCACTTACTTATTATTAAGAATTATTTATCTGATCCATATCTGTAATTCGAGCCATATAAATGCGTCTTTTATTAATATATTAAGCACAAGAGATGACTTTTCTGCTAAAAATCAAAATAAATGACAAATAATCAAAAGTGAATGGCTCTAACGCGTTGTAAATATTGGAAAAAGTACGAGTGTTATGAAAATACAGTGAATTTGGAATACATTTTGAATAGAGCATTTAAAATTTACCGCCCATTTTGAATTTTTTATTAAAATATACGGTTTTGGGTTGGTAAGTCATTTTTTATTTTTTTCCTGCTGCAGGGTATATTGCTAGAGCTGAGATCATTAAAAGAAGCAAACCAACATCTAGCAGATGACAATCAAGAATTGCGAGATCTTTGCTGTTTTTTGGATGACGATCGTCAAAAGGTCTGTATCTCTTGATTAATTCCGTTATTAAATAGACTTCTCGCATCTTTGACACTCAAAAAATTAAATTTTTCTCAGAAATAAACTTTGAATCTTGATTATTGCGTTTCATTCTGTTTACTGCCGTAAATGCAATACATAGAATCAATTGCGGGGAGTATCGTATTTGTATCACTATATGTAATTCATGTCTTGCATGACTCAGTGTATAACTTGCTCCAAATAAACACGTTTTGGCAGGTTTCTTGAAGACAATATGAACATGCAGACCAAAGAATCATCTGCGGTTACTAGTACTCTTTCTATTAACAGACTAAATAATTGAATACTCTTATGAAATAAAAAGAATATACGAATTGAGTATTTTGCATCTTTAGGTATTTAGTCGACTTCCGCTCATCCACTCAGTTGACAAATTATTAATATTAATGAAAACTTATTTTATAAACTAGATCTAGTGTGTTATTTTTATTATTATAAGCAGAAATATAATATTCTCTTGTTACAATGTAAAGTGACCAGCAAGGAAACATATTTTCTTACGCGCTGCCAATGATCTAATTCAAAATTTCTTAGAATTCATGATGGGCACGTGATTTCTGCTACATTTCACCACTTACGGCGCGTGATTTCGGATTACTAATTTTATCTAATATTTGCCAGACTAAAATGAATGTATTGTTTTGCCGAGGGTTTGATTATGTTAAGTTGTGTGTTTTTGTAGTAAGTGGGTTAACAACACAAACACTTATTTGTAACAAGAGAATCATTTAAAAGTTCCTATTCATCATAAGGGAGAGGCGTTTGCATATTTCTCAGTGTACTGACATGTGCTTTTTTTTGTCAGGGTCGAAAATTGGCTCGAGAATGGCAACGATTCGGACGATATACAGCTAGTGTTATGAGACAAGAAGTTTCCGCTTATCAGACTAAACTTCGGGAATTGGATAATAAGCAACAGGAATTGATTAAAGATAATTTGGAGCTGAAGGAGTTGTGCTTATATTTAGACGAAGAAAGGGCAAATGGTAAGCCGAACATTTTGTAACATACACCTTTGTTAACTTGTCTGTTTTTTGGCCAATTTTTTTAATGGCAAATAACAGTATGGCATTTTATTACCTGAATTTAGGTTTTCTGTTATATTACATTTTTCAAAAAGCAATAATAATTTTATTTTAGGTTCTCTCTGTCCAAGTTGTGGAAATAATGCTGGAGGAAATCTGAGGGACGACGGTGATGGATCAAGTTCGAGTACAAATGCCGACGAACCTGCTGTACCCCAACAGTTTAATTCCGGAGCAAATCCTCAAAGAAGATCTGAAAGCAGAGAAAGAATCTTGCACGAGAACCTTGCACGGCAGCGAAATACTTTTAATGGTAAAATTTTATTTTTTTAGTTGATATGTCTTTGAAAATATTGAGAAACATACTTTATCGTTTAATAAGCATACAATATTATTTAGCGTTTTCTATAAATCGTTATTTTTCAATTAAACACGAATTTATTGATAAATATAGAAAATACATTAAAGTTTGTATGTTATTCACATTTATAATTATAGACTAGAGAATTTGTTTCATCGTAGCGGCATGTTTGAAACTTCGTCCATTGTTATGCTTTTAATTTTTCTGTAATCTCTTTCTTGGTTATGACTACGGAACTATTGTAGGGAAATTTGCTGGACGTAATAACCACCGCGCATAACATTTCTTCTACTTGAAACATTATCCATTTCTTCTCTTGGGCCTCACGTTTATTGTTCTGTTATTCTTGAGATCGATTTGCATGGTCATGAATTTTGTGGTTTTTGTATTCTTAGATCATCTTCTTGGCTTGGAAGGAGAAGTCTATGGCCTGTTCTGTTTGTAACTTCAAGTTGTTGCTGTTGGTCGCTGCTTGCCTTGAAATTTTCCAATATAGTATTTTGGGGCTTTGGGTTCCTGCGTGTAGACATTTCTGGGATGTCCACAAGGACCTCTTCATGTTTAAGCCATGACATACCTAACACTATGTCGTAATTCAGCTACCCCACTACTATGCATTAGACTGTGCTGTGGAAGTTATTGCTAAAGGTGATTTTTTACTTCTGTCGTCCCAAAACTGCAGGACGGGTGGCCTTCGCATGCTAGCAGGACCATGGTTGGATTACTTTGGATGTCCTTTCTCCGAATTAGGCTTACACGAATGAAATTGCAGGAGACAGCAGTGTCTACTAGGCTATGATCTGTTTTGTCTTCACTTATGTCGCAATCTTCAAAAGGTGGGTCTGATGCTCTGCAGTTGGTCTAGGCGTTGCTACGAGGGGTGTTGATATTTTTGGTAATTTCGATGTCCTCGAAGATGTGTCGTAAGTTCTTCTCTATTTAGGGCTCTGAGACTCATAGGTGGCTTTGTAGTTCGGTCTATAAGTTTTCTGCAGCGTTAATCTTCAGCGACTCAAGAAAATCTGGTAGCTTATCCTCGGTGAAGCGATGGTTTTCGTTCCATGTGGCTGTTTCACCGGCTAAGGTTTTTCTAAAAGGTAGACTGTCTCTGTCTAGTATTTCCCATCGATTCCTATGTCTGCTAGGTGATTAGTTGCTATTTCCATAAATTCTTCTGGGCTCTCTGATTCTTCGCAGGTAAATTTAGAGGATATGGGTCGCCATTTTGATGTCATAATAGGTGTCTCTGGGTATTGCTGTGGTTGTTTGTGTTTGGTTTGAACCATTGTGAGTGCTGTCACCGCTTGCATCAGGGCTACTAGTAGCGTAGGGAGTTCCTGGTAGGATCCATCGCTCGCGGTCACTCTATTCGAATTTTAGGTAGATCGCAGTTTCTGTGGGGGGACAATTATCTTTGTTCTCAATTTTTCTGAAGTTCAGTTTCCCTTCTGGTCGTTCCTCTGAGAGTAGCACTGGCCCGAAAGTGTTTTTCTATAGATAGAAATTTTCCCTGAGGTGTTTGGGATGCATTCTACGAGCACATACCATTTTCTCTCCTTGACTAGCTTGATGTCAAACAGCACATAGTATTTAATGATAGTAATTTATCTCTTATGTCTACTCTGTCACGGCAAGCTATATTTTTCACTGCGATTTTTTTGTAGATCAAATAATGCAATATGTCAGAAGCTTGGAACAACGAGTTAAGCAATTGGAGGAAGACAAAAGAGCATTGACTCACAAGATCAACCAAATAGCAACGACGACAGGTGAGTAATCCATTTTTTCTAAAAAAATTGACCACAACCAAGTAGAGAGTTTAAACTTAGCTTTGAATAATGTCTTTCGAAAATTTCTCAAAAGAATTTAGTAACATCACGGCAACTACTGAATTCATATTATTATGGATATCTCCTTTCTTCAACATAAGATGAGAACCCTGCTTCTCAGTGGTCGGTTATGAAGGACTCTGATTAATTATTAATGTCGAAGCAGGTACATTTAATAAGTAAAAAAAGGTTAGATCTTTGTAAATGGTTATATTTTAAAAAAAGCCCTTAAAAGGGCTACATCAAATTACACGAACGTTTTCGGAATAATAATTCCATCATCAGGTTTAAAAATGCAAGTTAACATGCCTGAGCCACCAAAATATCAGGGTAAAAACCCTTTAAAATACATAAAGTTACAAAAGATTGTACATAATGTTGTTATTAATATTTGATGTTTAATATTAAATTAAATTTAACTTTAGGTAACATACACCCATGTCTTAAGTGAGTTCCAGCGTCCGGAGAGTAAACCTCTTCAAACGGACTTCAGCTGGTAACTCTGTTAATGATATGAGACACACGAGTACATGCGTCGCGGCGGAAGGCAATGGATATAGAAGATGAGGAAAATTCTTGAGAAATCTAGCACCCACGTACAGTTGTAAAGCACGAATTATGATTACTGAAATTATTACTGTTGAACTGTTATCTGTTCATTGACTTTTTTTATTTGTGTACATTTTATGATTTGAGTTTTTTTTTATTCGTCTGTTTGGTAATAATTAAATTTTAAAATATATTTTATCTTAGGCGATCCAAGCTTAGCAGCCCCTCAAGACTTAGGAGGAGGGATGTTAACAGGAAGACCAGAAGCAGTCGTCCGAGCTCTTCAAGTTCTTGAAGTAAGAGAACAGTTGGAAAGAGAAAGTCACGAATTGGGAGTTGAAACCATGTCGGATACTACTTCACAAGATATGGACGATGGAGAGAAGGCACTCGTTAGGGAAATGTGTAATGTAAGTATTACTAGATTAGTCATGTATTTAAACGTTATTGAATTTAAACTTTGAATTGCACTATTTGATTTTTATACATTAGTTATTTAAAACTTTTATTACTTGTACAATTGCTTCTGCAATTATATTTGCACGCTTCTTCGTCCAATTATCTTTCCTTGTATTATAAGCTGATACGCTTACGCATACGCTTCCTTATAGTTTGATGATAAGTCAGTAGAGATGATAACAGAACTATAGGGCCCATGCATAATTCGGAGTAGGATATCATGTGTATACTTGTACCAGTGACTTCTACATGACAAGCATTTTAACGATCGAAGCCTTCACAACGCATCAGCGTGCTATTGGGGGGAGCGCGAGTGGAAGATCGTCTGGGCCATTAGGACGGGGTATAATGGTCTGTGACTTACACGAATCAACCCCATTAGGAAACCGGAACGATCGGGGAGATACATCGGAGATTTTTGCGGAAGCAAACAAAACTTCAGGCTTTTAAGCTATGTTTATACAGAAAGAACCTGAAGATTTTGTTTAAAAATATTTCAAAATATTTTATCCTATTATGTATATATAAATTCTTAGCCCTAAGTTTTAATTTGCCTAGACGGCAACCCTGTTAGCCCTAGGCAAAGTCGTTACAATTTTATAATTTCAGTATGTTTCCAGATGTTGCCATAAGAGCACACAATAAACAACGTGTGAAGAGATTTCGTTTTACAAGTTATTTCTTCACCCTATCGAGCAACTATTTACCACTACGATTAACCACCGACCAGTCAATTTATATCAAAAATTTAAACATACAATTTTTTGGTCATTCATAGCCGAATTCGGTGGTAAATCGTAACAATTTCAATTTTTAATCATCAATTTATTAAAAGTAAAACGAAATCTCTTGACACGTGTTTTATTTTGTGCTCTTATGTCAGCATATGAAATTATAAAATTGTACAAAATAAAACACGTATGAAGAGATTTCGTTTTACAAGTTATTTCTTCACCCTATTGATCCACTATTTACTACCACGATTAACCAGCGACAAGTCAATTTAAATCAACAATTTAAACATACAATTTTTTGGTCCTTCGAGTCGGATTCGGCGGTCGAAATCATAACAATTTCAATTTTTAATCATCAATTTATTAAAGTAAAACAAAATCTCTTCACATGTGTTTTATTTTGTGCTCTTATGGCAACATATAGAAATATACTGAAATTTTAAAATTGTAACGACTTTGCCTAGGGCTGACAGGGTAGCCGTCTAGGCAAATTAAAACTTGGGGCTAAGAATTTATATATACATAGAATAAAATATTTTGAAATAACTTTAAACAGATACCATGGACAGACAAAGTCGCCAATGAGGAAGTACTACGGAGGATGAACACAACCTCGGATTTGGTCAACATCGTGTAGGACCGTAATCTGCAGTACTTGGGACATGTAATGAGACATCAAGGCAGATATGAGCTTCTCCAATGCAATTTGCAAGATAAAATTGAATGATAAAGGGCCCCAGGACGAAGAAGAACATCCTAGCTTGCTAACCTGCAAGCGTGTTATAGAAAAACCTCAACGCAGCTATTCCGTATAGTAACCAACAAAGTCATCATAGCCAGAATGATCGCGAACATTCGGAACAGACAGGCATCCTAAGAAAAAGAACTTCATGACTGTGTTCTTTTATATGACTTGCTTGCTTGCTGTTTATAGTAAATAAACTAAACTGTAATCATTTTAAACTAATAGTATAACTCTAATATTTTAGGTGGTATGGAGAAAATTAGAAGATCCAAATACAACGAGACGTTAAATTGTGACATTCAAGAGAAAATCTTGCCGATTCTTAACTTGAAAAGAAGTTATTGCGTATGGCTGGAGATGATTTATAGTGCAAGAAAATATAAATATTTTATTTATTGCCTTTATTTAAGATATTAAGTAAGTTTTTTATTTATAAAACAAATTTTATATTTACAAATAAATTCTTTGGATTCAACTGTTTTTTTGTTCGTATGTAAACTATTGTACTGCCCTAGGACCATCCCAGAACCGGACGCAATGGATTGCGTATATGTACGGATTTCGGATCGGTCCTAATAATATCCTATAAACAAAACCATGATTAATAATATAGAGCCATCGAAAAAATCGTGTAGAGCATGCTTCGGCATCACAATTCGCATGATAATGCATGGCTGCATACTGCAAGAATCGTGACTTAATGTCGTGACAAGAATTAATTACTCTAGAATTGTCAGCCTGCAGCGCTGATCTAAATATCATGGAACATCTTTGGGATGAACTTCATCGTAGGGTTAGAAGTCAACCAGGCCAGCCAGAAAGTCTTGTAGAACTTCAAAACATGATTCGTGAAGAATATGAATGTATTCCTCAAGTTTTCATTTAAAATTTGTTCCTTTTCCTTCCAAATCATATGCAAACAATTATTGATGTTTTAGGGCATAATGTCCGATAAGAAAATGTTTTTTAAGTTCACTCGTAATTTTTATTGTTTGTAATTCGTTTTGTTTTACCTATCGTACCTATCCACAAGAAAGGAGATCAAACAATATGTGAAAACTATGGAGGAATAACCCTCCTAAACGTAACATACAAAATATTGGTATATTTTCTTTACGATCGACTATCGGGATATTGTGAAGACATAATTGGGACCGTGCAAGTTCGGAAGAGTGACACCTGGTGTCGTAAATCAGCAAAATTTACTGCGCTCTTATGTTAGGTCGACGTTACCGGATAACTGTCAAGGACGTAGCCCAAAAAAGAATAAGAAAAAAAGTAAGATTGAGGTTATGTCTGGTTATGTCGGTATGTTATTAAAAGGTAAACGTTGTATGTAGTGTAAATACAAATACATATATTATTAAATTACAGCATTACTGTTAATATGGATGCAATAATAAAAACTGGATTTGAGAAAGTAAATCACCAAATAACTTTTCAACAATTTTTTGTTGTATTTTTACAATTTATAACACAGCAATTACTAAATCCCATTTTCTTCAGTGACAGAAGGTGTAAATAAACAAACAAATATGAAATATGACAATTTGCCAATTGACAATATGAATTTATGAAATCTATGAAATGTGCAGTAAAAAATGCAAGATTTCTCCGGTACTCGCGCACGATCGTTTCTCGTATCACATCCAAGTACTTGCACGTCGCCAATAGGGAACTATCAGTGTGGGTTTCGTAAAGAAAGATCAACAACCGATCAAATATTCCTTCTAAGGCAAGCTCTGGAAAAAACATATGAGTATCGCATTGATACTCATCACCTGTTTGTTGATTTTAGATGTGCCTATGATAGTGTTGAAAGAAACGCACTGTACAAGGCTATGATAGAATTCAGCATAACAGTACACTTAGTAATTGGTGAAAGCGACCTTCTCAAGAGTCGAGCGTAAAGTTAGAGTGCAGAACGGAGTTTCCAGAACGTTCCAGTCTCAGATAGGACTTAGACAAGGAGACAGCCTATCATGCCTTCTATTCAATTTTGCATTAGGGAAAGCGATAAGAGAATTTTGGAATAACAACCAGAGGAACTATTATTAATCGCAGCGTACAATTACTAGCGTACGCCAATGACATCGACATTATTGCAAGAAGAAAGGCGGACGTGGCCGAATCATTCAAGGCTTGAAGGAGCAAGAAAAAGAATGGCACTAGAGGTTAACACTAGTAAGACGAAGTATATGAAAGTATCAAATTATATACAAGCAGCACAACCCTAAGATCTAATGATCGGAACATATACTTTCGAAGGAGTAAGAGAGTTGATACCTAGAGCTATAATTTCGAACTTTAGCGTCTGTATGACAAACCTGATATTATTAGGTCCATCAAAATAAACCGGCTGCACTGGTTAGGTCACATAGAGAGAATGAATGAGATGGAGCCGTCAAAACATATTTATAACCAAAGAATAGACGGAGTGAGAAGGAGAAGCAGACCCAGAGCACGATTTAAGGATCAGGTGGAGGAAGGCATGAAAATGTTGGGAGTACGAAACTGAAAAGCCAAGGTGAAGAATAGGAGAGAATGGAGACTTATCCTTGAGCAGGCCAAGACTCATCATGGGTTGTGGAGCCAATGATGATGATGATGAATTTGTTTTGATATTACACTATTTTCTTTTGTAGCCTTCTACTTAAATAAATTATGCTCAGGAATCAAGCAGTAATGCACATTTTTTGTTTCAAAAATGAAAGATGTTGAGTATACAATATGAAACGGTTCATAAAACTTCCAATGAATTTTTATTTTCGGAAATTTTTAGGGTGGTCACTTTTTTTTGTCGGTCAGTGTAGTTTCCTATTGATGGCAGGAAGATCCCTATTGAGTTTAGATTGAATAAATCTGTTATGCCTTTTCTTGTTTTGAATGAGAAATCCTAAAGTAAGGAAAAACACGATTAAATTTGAGGTCAATATGTTCTCTTTTCATATTCTTTTATGTCTTCTCTTGATGAAAAAACCCTAAAATCTTGAAACTTGGTACATTCGTTATTTACTTTTGGTATAGGGAAAAACCTTATTCAACAATCAGCATATCTTTTCCTTGAAGGTATTGTTAAATTTTATACATAGTTTATAAAATTATAAACAGTTTATTTAGATTTCATTCAAATAATCGAATTATTTTAGGTGACTCGGACGTCACCTGTTGGTAGATGTATAAAGTTTTGTTTGAACCTTGTTCCCGCGTTGTTGCCAAGCATACAATTTTTTACATAAATTTTCCAGAAGTTTTTAACCTATTAATCTTTGGAAGTTATTTTATAATTTTTTTGTAATTGAAATTTCGTATAAAAGGAACGGGACTTTACAATAATTATATCTACATCCATAATTCTGTTTTATATATTTATGGGTGATTTCACATATGCATTGTTTGTACAAAAACTTCGAACATTAAAAAAAATCAGTGTATAGGTTCTATAACAAGAAGATACAAATATGTACTATTAATATTGATTACACTCAAAGCAATATTCAACAAAAAATAAACCAAGACGATGCAAAATATCGTGGCTTAGAAATTTAACAGAATTGTATGCTTGTATCTCCAAAACTCTTAAAAAAATGTAAAGAATTACATAAAAAGTTTACATGTTGTATAATGAACTCCCTCGTCGTGTAAATGAACTCTTCCAACTGTTTCCAGCTCCTTACCAAAGTAGCGCCACGAAATACGTTATTTTGTGCTCGCCTCAGCATTTTAATATAGAGAAAAATTAATACAACGCCACTATAGAAGCTTCTCTTTAAAAACGATAATATATTCTTTTATCCTTGTTAGTGGAACACATTTTAATAAGTCCAAACCTGTTAGGATATTGGGAGCATACTCTTTATGATTCTTTAGGATAATTATAGCAATGATGTTGAAAGAAAAGTCTATACTCACAATCTTCTAAGTTCATTAAGTTTTAAATGAAGGTATGTTTCTGCGACCGCTTTCAGAGTTTACAATTTATACTTCATCACTAGGCTCATGAAACTAGGAAGGCTTAGATATATGTAATATAAAGGACATATTAACCACTAATTTTTGTAGTTAGTCTAGCTACAATAAAATCCCTCGTCAACCAGTTGTCTATTTTGAAAACTTTTAAAAGAAAAAAACTCACAGATTAAATTTAAAATACACCACTATGTTTAAAAAAGAAAAAGAATTTTTAGCTCTTTAGACTTTTAGTAAACTTTTTTAACTGAGATGGAAAAGTTCTAAACGGACTAGAAAAGATGTCTCTAGAAGAAAGAATCGTATGTTAGGGCATAGCATCCAGAGTATGGATTATATACGTCGCATGTTTCCCCCACCGGTGGCTAATCAACTAAAACTTCCAGTCTCCAGACAAGGCAACCCTGAATGGAGATTATAAATTAATGAGAGTAAACTGGAAAACATATTCTTACCTGTAGTTCTTAACGATTTAAAATCATTTATTAAAGTGAAAGTCGAAAATCTGTGGCAAAACCAGTGGGACAGTTCAACTTCAAAACTCCGCGAAGTGAAAACGTTTGTAAAACCGTGGAAATCTCAAAATCCCAACGGAACTCACCAAGTCATTGTTACTCGTCTTCGTCTAGGATATACCCGACTTACCAACGGACACATAATTGGTCTCACTAATCCCACTTTATGTGAAAACTGTAATATCCCACATATCTCCATTTTTCATATTCTTTTTTTAGTTTTCTAAACTGTAGTCCATGTCTTCCTCATCATTCGCTACGACTACCTCATCATCTGCGAAAAATAAAGTTGTTAGACATTTACCACCGCCTATGTATATTCCCATTCCGGATACTTGTTTCCTCCACTGTTCTAGAGATGATTGAATATATATTTTAAATAAGGTCGGAGATAGACAATATCCTTGTTTAAGCCCCTTTGTTATTGGAAATTATTCAGTTAAAGTTTCCTTCTTTAACGACACTCTTGCATTTTTGTATATATTTGCGATAGCATCGCAAATATATACAAAATATTTCGTCCTGTCAATTGATTTTTGCTTACAATATCTTTTATCGACGATATTGTCGTTTTTGTAAGTAAACATGTCTCTTCCACAGCATAGTACCTTGTTTGATTAAGCCTCTATCTATTAAAATATCATACACATTTTTAACTATTTCTTTTGCGTCTAATGACAAATGCTTTCGAGTATCTTTAGTAGATGTAGAGCGATTATTCTCCCACGGACGAAACATATTTGTTATGTTCAAACTTCACTAATATTCTAAGCACACAGTAGCAGCAAAGAACGTATTCTTTGGTAGCAAGTACAGATTCTGAATGACTGATACTACTTATTAATTTTAATTCCCTCAACATTAGCCGTACCTGATTCAACTTTGAGCGGTCAGGTAGAAATATCTAATACCACTAATATCCTCTAACGACGGGAAAGCAAGGCGATATATTTTAAAACCAGCTATACCTGCATAAAATGTTCGTGTATCGTGAAGATACTCGTGTTTGTCAAAATATTATTTATTCAGTAATAATATTGCGATGATTTGAACTGTTGCTAGAACTTTTAGTGTAATTTTTCTATGGTGTAATCGGTATAATATAATCTTGTTTGTTTTGTTTATATAAAAAAAAATAGGATAATCTTGTTTACACATTTAATGAAAACATTGGCAACGTCGCTTTGTGGCCATGTTTAAATTGATAATTGACGATTGACGTGAACAAGAGTAGAGTGGGCGCTTCCATTTTGCAATTTATATATTTTATTCTTTAAAAAGATAATTTGTTGTTTGCTAGTACAGAAGGTAAATCAGTTTTTTGTTGTTATTTTATCTAATCAAGACAACTAAACCGTTTTAAAAGTAGAGTAAGTAAAAACGAAAATCCAAAGCCCTGAATTTCACAATATTTTAACCTTTAACCTAATTATTTTTACAATTTTTAGTAATATTAACATGAGGGATTCGCCAGATTCTGCAGCAAAAAGAAGCAGGAGCAGAAGCACTAATAGTAGTGCTAGTAGAAAAAGTCGAAGCAGAAGTGCTTCTAGTGCCTCAAGGTAACCTCATTTTTGCATTTTTTTTATTATCAGTTATATCGATTTTTCCTTATCAAATTTAACATTAAAATCATTTTTTCTTATTTGAGAAGGTCTCGTTCAAGAAGCCGTAGCAGTGAAATTGATGGATTTAGATTACACATTGGCGATATTGGTGACGAGATTAGAAGGTCTGATTTGGAAAAAGTTTTTTCTATGTATGGCACTTTAAGAGAAGTCTGGATGACTAATAGTACCCCATGTTTTGGATTTGCCGTTTTTAAGGAGAAAAAAGCAGCTGCAGCTGCTTTAAAAGCTTGTGATGGAATGTAAGTAATTTTTCCCTTAGTCAATGTTATTAATTCAGCCATGTTTATTCTCATTATTAGTTTGACATTAATTATTCACTCAATGAAAATAATTACATTTATTGATTGACTTGAATACTATAATAAGGTGGTTTATATCTTTTTATATTTATATATCTCTTCTTTGGTATATTTGGTGCTTTCAGCCAAAATAATTGAAAAATTATATTATATGCTGTTTACATTGCTATATTATAAACTTTATTATTTACTTTTAGTGTAAAGCAAAACATCAAAATATAAATAATAAAGAGACTGTCATAGGCATGTGTTATCTAATGATGGCTCCCCTTTAAAAATTTTAAAACCGTCTGGACAAAGAATAATGTTGCAGTGAAGGTAGCGACAAATGACGCATGAGAGAACACGAAATTGGTGTTTGGCGGTGTTAAAATTTACATTAAAAATGAAACATGCAATCAATAGCAATAAGATATAAAAATTAATAGATTAAAATTATCAAAAAAGAAAAAGTAAATGGTTTTAAAACAGTAAATAGTATAATTTCTGTATAAATAATAAAGTTAAAAAGATGTCTGTTGCAATCTGGCAACTCTTGGTTTGAGGATTGCCAAATCTATTTGCTAATCTATTAAAGGATAATTTCCAAAAAATAAATAAATAAATAAATAGTTTATTTACGGTTATACCAATTACAATAATTATAATCATTAAATAAATAATATCATATTAACAGTTTTAGTATTCAATAAGAATTAAAATATCTAATAATTAACTACAATTAATATCAAAAGAAACAAATATTTATTCGTTTGTTTTTTTATGTAAATTAAAAATTGGGGAGTCCTTAAAATCATAATAAAAATGAACTGTTTCAAAGCTTTCTTTGCATATATTAGAGGGATACAATATAATCAAATATTTCATTCTATGAACGTTTTTTGTAGCTACCTTCAATGCAACATTCTCTAGATGATGTCCAAAAGTCTGGCTTTATAAATAAAATTACTTAAAATTAAAATACATTTAAATTAAAAAAAAACTTGAAATTGAAACTATTGAAATAATAAAAATAAACATTTTAACATAAAAAAAATAAACAGCAAAGAGCTAGAAATGCTTCTCTGGTTGAAAAACATCACAAATAAAAGTCTTGTTGACCTAGGAATATCACCACATTCCGAGTGACACCAGCTGCTGCAGTTCTGGTACTTTAGCCATAATTAGTTAGGAAGAGAACAATTTCATTGCAATACAGACATGCTGCATCTGATTCATCACTATCGTTCTGTTCATACATAACTTCATAACTATCCTCATTCTATTGATTTGATCAATTTTTCTTCTGGCTTCTTTTTCTGTTCTTCTCTCTAATTCTAATACTTCTTTTTTGGTTTACTTGATTTCTTCTTCAAGATGGGACAATTCTTCAATCTGCTCTCCATATATCTAATGTTTGAATATGCTTGGAATTTGGACATTTGTATTTACCTGGGATATATGTAAGATGGTTTTAATGGGAGTATTGCTAACATGCTGGTTTACATTTAAGATAGGATCCTTGATTTCATTTTGTGGTTCTTCTTTGCTATTTGAATTTATTAGTTGTGATTAATTAGATATGTTTTCCAATTCCTTATCTGTTGTTTAAGCAGCAGAAAATTCCCAGTCATCAATAACATCTGAATTATGAGGATAGATGGCGCTACTTGATACAGTTTCGGTGTTAACATTTGTCATTCATGACATGACGTCTGTCAAAATTTTAAGTTTTAAAAACAATTAGTTTGGTTTTTACAGTCGTCAAAAGCAAGCAAATTTTGTGTTTACTGAGAAATGGAAAAAGTCGAATATCGTTCGGTGATTAAGTTGTTTTACAAAACGGGCAAATTTAATGTGCAAACCAAAGCCGACCTGGACAAAGTTTATGGTGAGGTTGCACCTTCTTTAGCAACAGTAACATTTTGGAAAGCTGAATTTCTTCATGGTCATTAAGTTCAGTTCGTCGAATTAAGCTCCGCAAGTTATAGAGCTCCTAAACATTTCCTACGAACGTACACAATATCATTCACCATCATTTGGACATGAAAAAGCTATCCGCGCGATGGCTGCCGCGTTTGCTGACAATCGATCAAATGCAAACACGTGTGACCGCTTCAGAGACGCGTTTCAAACAGTTGAAACAGTGGCGCAAATGTGGCTAAGGACCGCTGAAGAAGGCAAAGAGTGCACATTCAGCTGTCAAAGTGATGGCGACTATTTTCTGGGATGCGTAGGGCATCATCCACATCGACTACTTGGAAAAAGGAAAAACAATCAATGGTGAGTACTACACAGCATTATTGGATCGATTCAATGCCGAATTGCGTGGAAAACGCCCCGGTTTGGAACGCAAAAAAGAAGAGCTAAAGCAAAAGTACTATTTGGAACAAAGTCTTACAATTGAGCTAAATAGGGACTATGTTGAGAAATAAATCGATTTAATTCCAAAAAACTTGTTTTTTCTATCAAAGGCTAGTTTTAAATCAATCCACCCTCGTAAATGGATGTATTCCGGTTTTTTTAAAGAACTTATTGCATTTGATGGAGTTACAGCCTTGAGATATGCATTATTAAAAAGTTGTCACTTAGAAGTGAGTGACAGTCCATCCTGGGTTATCTCTCTTCCATTTTTATATTTCCATATTATAAAAAGTTTGTAGTGGTGCAAAAAATCCAACATTAAGGGGCTGGACGAGATGGAATAATGTGTGCAGAAAACAAAATAGAATAATTCCGTTTTCTTTACTGTATTTCAGTACTTCCAACACTTTGTGACGTTACTACTATGTCCATCAAGAATTAATATGACTTCATTTAACTCAGATTTAAATTGTTTCCACAGAAAAATGAAGGCAGGAGGAACAAATGTTCCTATGGTATTTTATACAACACACAACTGTATAATTTTGTTAAGCACTGCTAATAATTCCAATTTGTTTACTTCCTTTAGTTGCAAGAATTTTGGGAGGCTTTGTAGGGACTGTGCTCATGCCAGTCTCGTTTCCATTGTAGATATTTTCAGGAGAAAACCAATATTTTTCCATAACTTCTCCAGTAGAGCTGAAAAACATCCTAATGTTCTCTTTACTGAAAGCCTGTGCTCTTGTGATCAATAGCTGCTCAGGAGTTCTAACAGTTTTCTTTTGGTTCCTTGTGAGAAACCCTTTTAGTCACTTTCTACATGCTTTTTTCTTTATTAAATTGGTGGTTAATATTATGTTTCTCTGCTATTTGAAAAACAATCTTTCTTAAATATATTTTGGTAAGGCCAGGTTTCTAAGTTACCAACATGATTTGCTATTTCAGCTTCAACATTGACATCAAATGTAGCCTTATGTCCACTTAAACATCCGTTGATACTGCCTTGTTCATTTTTAAATCTTACATGCAATGTAGTTTGAGGTACTTTAAAGGTTTTTACTGCTGTTGTATAAGAGTAATTTATTTATTACATCTATTCCTATGAGGACCCTCAGGCAAAATTTTCTGCTGCTAAAGTGGTCCAATCTCTACTACAAAGACACTATAAAAATGCATAGTATTATGCCATGCAAATTTAAATAATCTTATCAGTTTTTGTCACGAAGTGCATCTTTCACTACTTATAAAAAAAATGGCTGAAATCAGTTAATAAAGTCACTTATACAGTGTGTTTCCAATTTAGATGGGACACACTGAATACATTTATAAAATAACTTTTTTTTTTCAGTGAAGTAGCTGGCAGCCGCATTCGTGTAACATATGCCAGACCAAGAACCCGTGGGTCTGGCAGAAGATTATATAACAGTAACATGCGCTGTTATCAATGTGGTTACTCTGGTCATTTCTACCGCGATTGCCCGGAAGTTAATGGGGGAGGAGACAAAAGAGACCGGTATAGTATATTTATATTACAAAAAAAATTTAATCAGTTATCAATTTGGCTAAGATTAGAAATACACTGGAGGCCTAGTATTTTGGTTGAATTTTTCATTGAGCATTGCTTTTGAAATGGAACAAGTTTTGTAATTTGAAATAAAGTCTTTAAAACATAGTGTCAGTTGTCATAAAATATTACAAGTATTTTCTTTTGATAATATTTTACTTATAATAAATGTATTTTTGGTAAATTACATACTTGATATCACTAAAATTCTGACAAGACCTGAAAATCAACTTCTACAATGTAGTTTGCTCATAGAATGCAATAATGTAGGTACCTCAATAAGTGCCAGAATTTCCTTAATGTACCAGCTATTTCCTCATTAGCTGTTCTTTAATACAGCACTGTGAGAACCTCTCATCTTTTCTCATTTGGTCACTGCTATAAAGAGCAAATCTACATTCATGCTGCAATGTCCAAAATTACTGATCTCATGTAAATTCAGGTATGTTTGGCGGTGGAGTGTAAGTTTTGGACCAGTTGTAGGACTTCTTGGTTCTCCTTTAGCTCGTTTTACTGTAAATCAACCAACATTTATTAACTTTCTAGTGTTCTCGTTTGCTATACTTCTTATATAGCACTCATTCTTGATCATTGTAGGTTCAAGTTAAAATAAAATAAATCATTTCCTACACTTTAAAAATTTTACTTTTATTTATATGTATAATCTTCAAAAAATAACAAATTAATTTAAAATTGTGAATTGTTTCAATTTCTATGAACGTAGATATATATAAACATTTATAAACTGGAAAGTTGGCAAATTAAAAATTCTTAAAATTCCTTAAATGACATAAGCAGAGCAGTCAAATAATTGTTCAGCATGCTATTGATGGAAATTCAAAAACTCCTATTTCTGTAGTATCACAAAAAAATTATAACAAATGCCTCATTGTAAAAAAACTTAAAGCATTTACAGAAAGTGAAATTTTTACTTAATTACTGAGAGGAGTTGGTTTGTTTTTAGATTTAAACAGCCACTTTCAATAAATTCCATATTATTACGTTTTTTTTTTTTCATTTTTGTTGTTTCAAGATTATAAGTTTTGTTTACAATAAAAATTAAGTGATTAAAGTTTTCACAATATTTTAATTTCCCAGTCTAGATACTCTAATTATGTTTTTCTTTATTACAGTTTATGATCAAAATTAGATTTGCAATTAAAATGATAAAATCAACCAAAATAGCTTCTATCACCTATTTCTCATCACAGCTTTATTTACTCACTAACTATAATATATTTCGCAGTTAATTCATACTTTACTTTTTATTTTGGCAAACATTTTTGTTTAATGACAAAAAGTTCATTGAAAATAGTATAACTGGTATTGTATATTTATGTCAGTTCCAGAATATAACTAAATTACATTTGTGACAATTAACAAGTAATTGTTTTTCTAAAAATAAATCGATAACTTATCAATGTTCAATATTGTTGTAATTTGTTAACAAATAAGTCAATATAATATCTGTTATTTTGAAGTATCATTACGGTTGGCAAGTAGAGATATTCTATAATCATTTTGTTCCTATGTTTGAAATGCAACAATACAATAAACTTCTTTAATTCGGCACATTCGCTATTTGAAGCACGCCGGATTATCAAATATTCCAGATTATAGGAAGAACATCTAGAAAAATATTTATGAAGTTGGTATTTTTGTTGTAGAGGGGAATCGGTATTCTCCAATGTACCTAATTTGTTTCTTCTTTTGTACAGGGGTGTGTCATAAGTCAACTGACAAATTTGCAAAAAAAAATTTATTTACAAGTGTTCAAAATATTCACCAGTATATGTATATGAAGTGTATAGAGATATTCATCTCAATACACTTCAAATAACGTTTTTATATCGAATTAATAATACCAGCAAGTATAGCGAGATCTTCGCAAAACCTCTCTTCTTAAGCATGCCACAGATGGAGAAATCTGTAGGAGTAATGTCTGGCGACCTTGGAGGCGACTTTTCGTGTCTACGTCTAAGATCGCAACGTTCGAACGGACAGGCACCTAAGAAGAAGAAGTCTAAGAACCATCTAGGAAAAACTAGTTTAGCATAATATAACTTCGTAATCGCTATTTTCACAGTAAAATGTTTAATAAAAACACAAATTGTTATAACATAAATTTAATGCTAACCTTCTCTGCCATTTCACTCGAAATACAAGGACTAAACGCACGAAAAAACCGGTATTCTTTCGTTTCGAGGTCGACCAACATACAGCCGTCCGTGTTGCTAGGTAATGCACGCTGAACGCGTTTTCGACTTGTTGACTTGTCTTATCTCTCTTAGTTGAAGCTTTTTACTCACACTGTAGATGGAGGAAGTTATTTAAATTATTATAAAAAGTGAAAAGACGATTCGCTTATGAAAAAAATAGTTCACCACTTTTAACTGTTTACCATTTCAATTCTTCAGATCAATGCGCTATCCAGTTAATGACAATGACCTTTAGCACATTCACTCTTTACCGGGTGATTAAAAAAAGGGAACAATGTCTCTCAAAAATTCTTGATCCATCCATTTTTGAGAAAAATGGAGCTAAAGAAAAAAAAATGTTACACATTTTTTACGACTTTGCCGAAACTACTGCCAACATTTTAATGAATTTTTTTATGAATATGTTTTTTTTTAATATCTAATTTTACAAATAACAAGATTTCAAAAATCTAATTATTGTTGACTTATTGTCATAACAATAAAATTTGTCAGTTTCCCATGGCAAACTTGGAAAAAAGTGAATACATATTAGAACTTTATCATCACTGTATACCAGCAATGGTTATTACTTCATAATTTTCAAATCAAAATATTCCGAAAACGATACAGAGTCTCGAGTTTTACCAAGAGTACCTTTTTGGTGTAAAGTGGTATGATGTTCAAGTTTACTTGGAATTTTGATTAATAATTCTACCCTTAAAAAAGTTATGTTGAATAATACTTGATACGACCCTTGTAACTAGCGCCTTCTATGAGAGTCAGATATAAAAACAAATTCATGGGATGTATCAGTAAAAAATATATACGCATATAGAAGGATCTTTTACTGTTCTTTGTTAGCGTCGGCAAAGATTATACACACTTAAAAAAAAGAAGCAGAGGTTGATCAAGATTTTAGTTTGAACCGTAACCAAATCGCCCATTTGAACTCTTTCTTCATGTGTCAATATTCTTTAACAAAGAATATAACGCATATAGAAGGATCTTTCACTGTTATTTTTTAGCGTCGGCAAAGGTTATACACACGTTATAAAAAAGAAGCCGAGGTTGATCAAGATTTTAGTTTGAACCGTAACCAAATCGCTCATTTGATCTATCCTTCTATATGCGTCTATATTCTTTGGTATCAGCTTCGAAAACACATTCCTTTAAAATTTCATAACAATGTTACCATTAGTTTCGGCAAAATCGTAAAAATGCTTAATATTTTTTTTTGCAACGCGCTTGATTTTGAAAACGGATGACGTTACAAATTTTTTTACATGGCGTTACAAAAAAAGCAAACACCAACTATTTTTCAATTTTTTTACCTATCCTAGAGACGGTGTTATCTTTTTTGAAACACCCTGTATATACCTCTCTACGAAAGTAAACTATTCTATGACAATATTTTCCTTTATCTTGAATCAACAAATATAATTATAACCTTCAGTATGATTGGTCTGTCATGTTTTCTTTTAGATCAAATTAAGGTTATACTATTTTCATATGCAGTTGCTAGAGTACTCATTTTATTCATTCAATGACAAAAGTATAATATACTATTTTTCAAATCTTGTCAGCCATATTAATTTAGAAAAATTAAATAAGTTTTGTTATAGAACAATGAATGATTTGAAAAACAAGTATGGTTTATGAATAAAGATTTTTGCATTTAGAACCTGTCTCATCAATATGATGACCTTATTATTATACATATTAAAATTGCGGCGAAATTTGTATTTCATACTTTTAATAATAATCATACAATGAGAAATTTTCATAATGCAAATTACTTTATACTGGAAATTTCAGGCGATTAAAACCATATAATTAATTGCTTATTGTATCCTTTTAATAGTCTTGTGATTTCTGTTGCAAAATATTTAATCTATATTTTCTTAAGTGCATATTTTACTTTATGGAGTTTTTTCATTATACAAGGTGCACTAATTTTAAGACAAGGTTTGATAACTTTCTGAATCTCAGTGATATCCAAAAATTTACACTATCTACACTGATGTACAGACAGATATACAATTTAAGATTATTGTGAATTGTACAGGACGTTTTTGGATTACGGTACAAATCAAACATATGGATTTTAAATGCTGGGATATAATTTTAAAATCAAAAAGCTCACATTTTTTATTCTCTATTATAGAGAGTAGTTGAAAAGATATGGATATTTGTACACTAAAATCTTGTGCACACATGGTCTTTCCTTAGCCAAATTCACATAATATCTATACAAAAGGCTATGATTACAAGTCACATTGTTTGTCCAGTAAGGTAACGACGGCACCTAGGAAAGAAATATGAACTACCAACATTTGACATTTCAATTATATTTTGTTCTTGAAACGATACGGTTGATTTATTGCTAATTCATTCTACAAATTGATAGTTCAAATATTGTTAATCAGAACTTTTACTACTTCACAGTGATTAATTTTTTCGCAAAATTGTTAAAAATTAGGTTACACATACACTTACTATAAAAATAAAATGACGTTTAACAAACGTCAACGCTTTACCAAAATAAAATAAAATTAAAACTTAATAAGATTAAATAAAATTAAGTAAAAGCTGTACCTGCAAAAACGCTGCTATATCTGGTCTGCTTCATTTCCCATGTAAAATCTCCCAAGAAAATGCCAAGGTTCATTCTGCTCATTTTTTGAGCGTTTGTGGTGGGGGTAGAATAGTTCGTCGGATCGTGACTTATGACACATCATTGAAAAGGAGAGG